ACTATATTTGGGCAAAAATGGCAGCTCCCGGACTCGGTGATCGCCACGAAAATTATTACCTTTATTTTTTTACTGATTAATGCTAAATTAATGAAATCACTGCAAACATATTAATTTTAGGTATAAATAAGGATCCATTGATGATCCTTGCTGGGCGGACTTTTCCTTTAACACCAGTGCAACTGTGAAATATCTGGCAGAGCAGCAAATGTGCTTTTACCTGAACAGTAGTGTTTAATGTTAGGCTTTATGTGGTAGTTTAATGAGGCTTTGATATTTTGGGCAAAAAACTGGTTCTGATTCCATTGTCTGATGGATATAGTAGATTGTCTTGGAGACGTGCAGTGGAGAGAAAGGACATAACTGAATACAACCGACCTCTTGCTTCACACTCACCCCAACACTGCACCCTAGAGCTGTACCTACAACTCTGTCTCTCTGCTGCTGCTGCTGTCTATTTTTATCTGTGGCTCCTCCTCCACTACAGCAGACTATTTTCAGACCAACTCCCTCCATGAAGCACCATCTCCTTCTCTTCTCTTCTCTTCTCTTCTCTTCTCTTCTCTTCTCTTCTCTTCTCTTCTCTTCTCTTCTCTTCTCTTCTCTTCTCTTCTCTTCATCAGTGAAACATGTTTAGAAGGGAATGTTTAAAGCTCCTTGTTTTCCTGCTCATCTTGTGTTTCTTAGTTGAAATAAAATTAACTGCTGACTATTCTTTCCTTCTGTCTGACTTCTTTCCTACCCAGTGATCCACTTAATGCCACCTCTCTCTCTCTCTCTCTCTCTCTCTCTCTCTCTCTCTCTCTCTCTGCCTCCCCCCTCCATCCATTCACCAGCCCGTAGAGCGTCACAGACACACTCCCCCATATACTCCAGTGACTTTGATGCTGCGAATAATAGCTATCTGATTGGATCAAATCGGCTTTCTGATCAGGTTTTTAGGGAAGGAATCAGGATTCTCCGCTTCGGTCCTCCAACCCAGCTGCCCTGTTCTCCTTTCATGCTGTCTCCCTCTCACTGCCTTTTTCTCTGAGCCTCGTTCTAATTTTGGAAACATGGAACCTCGGGGAGTGCTCTTTCAAAGCTATTTACATCTTTGCTGCTCTTCCTCCTCCTCTAATTCTCTCTCTGTCCTCCTCAGCAAGGAGGGGAACAGCAAAAAGATCCTTTGATGTTACAGAGCAGGGGGAACTTGGCTTCTCCTTCGTCTGGGAATTTTGTTGTTGTTCGGCTCACAAAATCAGTCATCGGGATGGGATTGATATGAACCTGGTTTTCCTTTGTTGGGATTTTTGACCCAGACCAGCCACCGCAACAGAATGAACAAACTTTCCTCCCTTTTGCTAAACACTGATGGATAGCTCACCAAGTTCACCAGCCGTTGTCACTGTTTTCAGGAGCCAGCAGAGGATTTAGGGAGATCTATGGAAGCCTGGTCTCTTATCATTTACTATTACTCTAATCCCCTAAATCCCATTGGAGAGAGAACTTCCTGGAAACCATACCTGCTTTGAAGAAGAAGAGGAATTAATTAAGGTGTCGGAGACCAATCACAACAACACAAACCAAGCAGCCACAGAAGTCCCAAGCAAATCTGCGATCCCAACCGGGGCTGGATTACGCAATAAGACACTTGTGCTTGTGTTTTTTTTTTTATTTGATGGGGCAGTTAAGACCTAATTGAGTATTTTTGTTCCACAATCTGTGGCAGATTTAGCCTCTCTTAAACTATGCTGCTACATCTGAGGTGCAGCTGACTGCTTTCCCTTCACCTACTTAAGCAGCAGTTTTTTGTCCTGGCATGCTGGTGCATCCCACAGTGACAGGATTGTGCACCATGCTGCAGACCATCTATGAGACTGAATCCTGTTTTTCCACTGGCAGCACAGACAGCCGCCACAAGCCTCTGGAGCTCCTCAACGGCAGCAGGGGCACTGGTGCTGACATGACTGCTGCTGGTGAGTCATCTCTGGGAAGGTAGAGGTGGGGATGTTAGAAAATGGTGTTTGATGAAATGAATGAATGCATTTGCCTGTTTTAAACAAGCCTTTCATATGTGAGATTATAAAGTGTTTGGATATTTGATTGATGGAGTGGGGTATGAGGATGTAGCTGGCTGGCACTCTCTAATAGAGAATGGAAGATTTGATTGGGTGCAGTTTTAGGAGGAAACCCGCAGGTCTTAGATCCCATGTGGAAAAGGCAGGTGTGTGATTCTATTTCGGACACTTAATAAGCATGAACAGTCTTTTGAGCTGTAACTTACAAAGTGGCTCATGAAGGTATTCATATACCTTTATTTCTGAATTAGTGGTGTTAGAAAATGTGAAATTTATGATGTGCATTTGATGCAGCCTCCTTTCCTATGATGTGCCAATATAAACCCTTTTACCTTGAGGAGTCACTTAATAATCCCTATGTCGGAGGGGGAAAAAAAGAGTAAAATTTAACCCTTAAGACAAGGTATAGAGGACAATCTTTTATTTGTGGGTGGATCGTCCAAATAAATGTTCCTCCTAATTGTGAGTTATTCTGGTGATATGTTTGTGTATAGTCATCCTACCTGCCCGTCCCGTTAGCTATTTTTTTCTGCGCATGCGCACTTTCAGCTGCGTATATGTGTTGTGGGCTACGGTTTCAGACAGTCATAGAAGCTCACCTTTCTCAAGGCGGTTCCTTGAAAACGGCGAACGTAGATAAAGTGTCTACGGAGTGTATGAGAAGAAAATCAAGGCCTCAGAAGAGGCAGATATATCCCAGAATGCTTTGCACGGAGAGCTCTCATCGCAAAGCATTATGGGATTTGCTGTCATAGCGGCCTGCTGTCGCAATAGGCTGCCTCTACCCAACAGCGACGGCTAATAACAAAAGTGGCCAGGCACCGCATGGTGGAGGAGGAGTTACGTGACCAACGGAGCAAAAAGCAGTGATCATCTGCCCCAACAGTCACTTAAATGAATTTACTATAACAGGCATCCCCAAAGTCAGTCCTCGAGGGCCGCTGTCCTGCAGGTTTTAGAGGTTTCTCTGCTCCAGCACAGCTTATTTACATTAATAGTTGATTTACAGGCTTTTGCTGAACTGCAACCATCAGCATCAGCTGTGCTGGAGCAGGGAAACGTGTAAAACCTGCAGGACAACGGCCCTCGAGGACCAACTTTGGGGATGCCTGCACTATAAATTCTACTATATGATGAACTCTATATAGTGATTTAGGGGTTAGGGCGGACATTCAGACACAGTAAGCTTGTATAAGCTATGAGAACAGCAACTTTTGAACCGCTTTCGCACGCATTTAATAGGCGATCTCTCTCGGGGGTGGGTTCAGGGTTGGGCCTATCCCTTATTTTTTCTTAAGTGGAGAGGGTGGGTCTTTTAAAAAAATCGTCCTCCACAATACCTTTCACACAGCAACATCCTGAAAAAACATGGTGGTGGTTGCAGCATCCTGTTGTAGGGCTTCTTTTGCATGAGTGGGGTAGCTGCTCAAAGTTGATGGACTTAATATGCAAAAACAGCATATTCTGCAGAATTTATTGTAATGGTCCCATCAAGCCTGAATCCAATAGAAAATCATTGACACACCAGCACATTTTTAGGGGTTCCTTTTTAATTCAGCGGATTCTGAATGTTCATAGCCCTTGATATTATTTAAAGATAATGCAGTTTTTCTTACTGGAGGGAACTAAAAAAATTATGTCTTTGAAAATGAATTTAAATGAATTACTTTAGTGTTTATTAAAAGAAAAATGGAAGCATGATTTTTTTTTTCTTTTTGCAAAACAATCATTCATTTTACGAGAAAATGTATAAATATATTTTTTTCCCGTAATCACCTATGCTACCTTCGCACTGAATGCAATTTCAGCAGCAAAAAAGTGCCTATTGCTTGATTTTTGATGCCTGTACAGATTAAGGTCAAACGTATCAAAGTTGCTGCTGAAGCGCGTCCAGTAAAGTATGTCCAGATTGTTCCGATGATTCTGCTGCTCCTGTGTTCAATGGCAGACTGGCTTCGCTGTATTAGCTGTGATCAGTGGGTAAAAAATAGAAAATGTGTTTTTAGGTGAGAGAGTCCACTTGAAAATATCATCTGTGCAGACAGTTCATCAAGATTACGATCCTGCCCTCAACTATTATTTCACTGTAGGAGCTACTCAGACCCCCACATCCCGGAGGTGCACTGTCACTGGGAATCCCCAGCAGCTGCTGCCTCAGGCCTCAGGCCTTTTGGGGGTTTTCCCCTACTGTTTGTGGCGGCTGGAAGTAGATGTTATGTTTTTCAGGCACCAGGATAATAAAAGTGAACACATTTTGCTGGCAGGTTTCGACATTTTAAGTTAATTTAGGTGTAAATAAACTGTTTCATAGGAGTGATCATAACGATCTGCATCAGCAGTGCTGTGTCCGTCTCCCTGTCAGCTCCCAGTTCAGCTTCTCTGATGGGTTGATGTGGCTTGTCGAGCAGCAAAATTTACATTTTTCCAAGTCTAGCAGCTTCTGCTTCTGAAGAACGTCACACGCCTCAGATGTTTAGATGCTCATGCTTCAGCTACTCAGATGCTTCAAGATGCGCTGCTCCTGCTGCTCGAGATGCACCGCGGGACCTTTGGATGCACCTTAATGTGTATTAACCATAGACTTTACAGGGAAACCAGCTTCTTCTGCTGCTCAAAGTGCGTTAGGTTTGAACGTAGCATAACAGTAATCTTAGATTAAATTCTTTTGTGGAGATGAGGGTTATAAAGTACCTGCATCTGAAGCATAAATTGTACAATATATGAAGGTTATGCAGAAGCAATCACTATCAGCAAGTAGTACACCTTTCCATGGTTTTTAAAAAGGTAAAAAATCTAATACCTGTTACCCACTATTATCCTGTATTTATTAGTTATTTCCACAGTGTTAAAGTTTTCAACATTTCGTCCCTTAGATTGTTACTAAACAGGAATATTTATTAAAGGAGAGGTCTATTCATATTCAGAATTCAAACTTCTGAAAGTACTTTTAATATGAAATTATTCCATCCTGTTCAATAAATGATGAGTGTTTTTTATTCAGAGTAATTTTCATTTGAATGTGCTTTACTGTAGGGGTGTAAATCACACCTATCATGGCGACTCGATTCAGTATCGATTTCCTGACCCAGCGATTCGATTATTTTCGATACTCAGGAATACACCACGATTCGATTAATTGGTTCTATTTTATTTTATTTTATTTATTTTTTTTACACCTTACAGGCTAGACAATGTTTCAAATTTGAATTAAATCAATGAAAGCGGCAATAAGGTTATGTAAATAACAGAAGTAGAAAAGTGTTACTCCACCTATTCCTATTAAAACCTCATTCACTGAAAAATAATAATACATCTGCGTTATAGATTCTGAAAGGCCTTGCATCAAAAATACTGCACAAAATCAGTGCAATGAGAGCAATGCAAAACCTCGGCTCCAGAGTGTTGACGTCCCCGCCCCCTCCACAGACGCTCCGCTGCACCTCTCCCAAATTGTAGCTGACTGCAGACAGGAGGCCGGCTTGTTTTGTTTTTATGACCGAAATTGCGGAAAACAACTCTTGAAGTTGGACCCACTGAGAGCGAGGTGCTCGAGAACACTGGGACCCTTTTTCCACCTGGATCTCCGCTCTTTTTGGCCCTCATGTCCCTCCGTAGTCGGACTAAACTCACCCCCACTTCCTCACCGCCTCGGCCGTATCTAGACCCACAGTGTAGCACAGACCACCCTTCAGTATTGAGCATAAATAAAAAATGTCTGTGTCAAGCTCACTGTGACACACTGCTGTAAGAGTATAACCAGGAAGCGAGGTAGGAGGGAAAAATAGGTTTAGCGCCACTGCAGCACGGGAGGGAGAATTGCGTCCTGGAGCAAATGGATAAAAATAGGCTGGAGGAAAAAAAAACATGAATCGATTCTCTTGCGGACGTATCGATGCATCGGATCGTCGGCTGTTGGCTCGATGCATCGATACAAAATGATTATTATTTACACCCCTACTTTACTGGAGGCATCC